ATGAGGGCACATCTGAGAGGCCAGCACAATTGAGTGGCACCCTGGAGTCCCCATGAATCAATGGAAAAGTTGAGTTTATAGGACACAAAAGCCCTGCCTCCTGGTCTGACACTTGCCTATTACCAGAGGGAAACCAGGTAGTATGGGATTGTTTGCTGGTTCAAACTTAGAATTACACTTTTTACACTGATGCACATTACTTTCTCTCTTTCCCAGAATCAACTTGTATGAGTTAATGAAGAACAATAGCTTTCAAGGCTTCAGTCTGTCAGTAGTTCGGCGCTTCACCCTCTCTGTTTTGAAGTGTTTACAAATGCTTTATCTAGAGAAGATCATTCACTGTGATCTCAAGCCTGTGAGTACAATTTCTATCCTGCCAGGGTAGCTGGTTCCTACCCTCAGAAACTGTCCCATTCTCTTCCCAAGCGATAACTAGACAGCATCATGGCCAGAGCTCTCAGATGGAGCCAAGTAGTCATAGGTTGTGAAGAGTAAGGGATGGTTTGGAAACAATGAAGGGAGATTGTGTCATTGAGGTAGATAGGAATAGAAAGGTCTAGGGCTTTCCTGTGGAAGGTGTGCAGAAATGTGTCATTCAGGGGGCTGGATCTCTGCTGTATTAAATCCTCACTATCTCCATTCTACTCTGAATTGGTCCTAGGGTACAGCAAATCTCTGACTACTACTTCTACTCCAAATGGATGTGCCCTTCCCTCATGTCCTGCTAGCATCCTATACTTAGCTCTGTTACTTCACTGATTGCTTTCTATAGGATTTGTTTGCTTATGTGTACCTGCCACTGAACTGCAAGTTTTCTCAAGGTCAGGAATCATGTCTTCTCACCATTTTATTCTCAGGACCCAACATGGTACCTGACAATAGATATTGCAGTCAATATGTAGGTAAATGTTTGTTAGATGAATTAATGATTGTAAATGTGAGGAATACAGAGAGGTATTTAGAGAAAAGGTATAAAAGTATGAAGATATGAGGCCAGGAGCTAGTTCCCAAATCAACCTGACTCTCACAGATACTTAAATATCCTTTAATTTTTCCTCATTCCTTTCTCCTCACACCCCAAAATGGTTACTTTTAAAAAAATGTAATCCGTTGGATAATTTGGGATATTTAGACAATTAAGGATTGTCTAAATAGAGATGTTCTCTCAGGGCTGCCTGGAGGAGCCTCACAATGCCAGTACATTTATTTATTCTCCACACTCACGTTCCTAATCCTTAGCTTTGCAGCTTCAACAGGTCACAATAACCATGGTCTTTGAGCTTAGGGGACTGACTCTCACCAGGAAATTCACAAGACACCTGGTAGCCAAAATATTTATTTCCTTGAGAAATAGGTCAAGTAAATTGGAATGCATGTGCCCAGTAGGGGAAGTATGCATATAACCAACAGAGTGATGAATGTGGGTTCAAGAATTGGAGTTATTCTTACAAACTTAATGTTTAGTATCAAAGACCTGTGATGCCCTGATGCATCCATGACACCCCCCTGTCCCCCCCAAGTGGTTTCTGCCAATAAATTGTAAGGCCAGTTCCCTCTAGCTAAGGAGCCTTTTCATTGACCTAGAGACACACAAGAAATTCTCATTCTTTTAAGACTTGCTGACCATACTCTTTCAGTTAACACAAATACTTTTTAGAAAAAGGAGTGGGAACTAAATTTGTACTTTCTTTCTTTCTTTTTTTTAAATGAAATCTTTATTGTTCAGATTATTACAGTTGTTCCTCTTTTTCCCCCCATAGCTCCCCTCCACCCGTTTCATACCCCCCTCCGCCCTCACCCCCCCCCCACTGTCCTTATCCATAGGTGCACAATTTTTGTTCAGTCTCTTCCCGCATCCCCCACACTCCTTTTCCCCCCAAGAATAGTCAGTCCACTCCCTTTCTATGCCCCTGATTCTATTATAATCACCAGTTTATTCTGTTCATCAGATTATTTATTCACTTGGTTTTTAGATTTACTTGTTGATAGGATGTGTATTTGTGTTCATAGGTTTGTATCTTTACCGTTTAATTCTTCGTCCCTCTTCTTTAAGGA